AATAACAAGTGTAATATCCACTAAAGCAAAGCTTAAGTATATAACACCAACAATCCACTGGAGAAGGATCAAAAACTCAACCACCTATCACCCCCGCTGTTCATCATCCTCAACCTGCTGTTCATGTTCCCACTGCTGAGAAGCCCGAAAAATTCAACGGGCTTGATTTCAAGAGGTGGCAACAGAAGATGTACTTCTACCAGACCACTTTGGGTTTGGTGAAGTACCTGAAAGACGACCCTCCTGCCGTGGCTGAAAATGAATCGAATGTTGAGCTGCGAGCTGCATACGATGCTTGGGGGCAAGGTGATTACCTTTGCCGGAACTATGTCCTGAACGGACTGAGTAACGAGTTGTACAATGTGTATAGCTCGGTTGGCTCTGCCAAGGAGCTTTGGGCTACCTTGGAGAAGAAATACAAAACTGAGGATGCTGGGGCGAAGAAATTCGTCGTCGGCAAATTTCTGGAGTTCAAGATGGTCGACACTAAGACCGTCGTGTCTCAAGTGCAAGAGTTCCAACTCATCTTGCACGACATTCATGCTGAAGGAATGTCTCTGAGCGAGTCATTCCAAGTTGCGGCTGTGATTGAGAAACTGCCACCGGGTTGGAAAGATTTCAAGAACTACCTCAAGCACAAGAGGAAGGAGATGAGTCTTGAAGATCTGGTTGTTCGTCTTCGGATTGAAGAGGACAATCGGAAGTCTTCGGGGAAGGCCCCGATGATGGAAGCTCGTGCCAACTTGCTGGAGCAAGACAACTCGAGCAAAAGGAAGCCCCTTAACAAAGGGAAGCAGCAGCCTGCCAAAGTGTGGAAATTTACTGGAAATTGCCACAACTGTGGAAAGACGAACCATATGGCTAAAGACTGCAGGAAGCCTAAAAAGGTTGGTCTGAAGAAGGCACAACATGGTGCCCTCATTGCTGAACACGGTCCTGTGCCGAGTGAACTAACCGACATGGATATGTCGGCTGTGGTGTTTGAAGCCAATTTGGTGGATAACCCAAGGGCGTGGTACATTGATACTGGTGCCACTTGCCACGTGTGTTCCGACAAGGGGTTGTTTTCTGAATACACTCCTTCAAATGGTCGGAAGCTCCACATGGGCAACTCCTCCTCGTCTGATGTGGCTGGAGTTGGCATCGTGGTGCTGAAGCTGACTTCTGGAAAGGAGTTGAAGCTTAAGGATGTTCTGCATGTCCCAGACATCCGTAAGAATTTGGTCTCCGGATCTCTTCTTGTAGAGCATGGTTTTAAGTTAGTCTTTGAAACTAAGAAGTTTATTCTTAGCAAGTATGGTAAATTCCTTGGTCGTGGCTATCTCGACAATGGTTTATTTAAAATGAATGTAATGGCTGTGAGCCGTGTAACCGTTTCCAATGATAATGAAAATCGTACTTCTGGTTATATCGTGGAGTGTTCTGATTTATAGCATATTAGATTAGGACATGTGAATCTAAATGCAATTAAACTGTTGATGAACTTAGAATTAATTTCTAATTCTAAAATTGAATCACACAAAAAATGTGAAATTTGTGTTGAAGCCAAAATGGCTAAATTACCTTTTCATTCGGTGGAAAGAAATACTGAACCATTGGGTTTAATCCGTACTGATGTATGTAACTTGAAGTTTGTGCAAACAAGAACGGGTAAAAGATATTTTATAACTTTTATTGATGATTGCACAAGGTTTTGCTACTTGTATCTTTTAAGAAGCAAAGACGAGGCTGTGGAAGCTTTTAAAAATTATAAGACCGAAGTTAAAAATCAACTCAGCAAAAAGATTAAAATAATCCGAAGTGATAGGGGTGGGGAGTATGTAGCTCATTTTGAACAAATATGTTCTGAATATGGCATAATTCATCAAACGACGGCCCCCTATTCTCCACAGTCGAACGGTGTTGCTGAACGCAAGAACCGTACTTTAAAAGAGATGATGAATGCCATGTTGATAAATTCAGGATTACCCCAGAATATGTGGGGGGAAGCTTTAACAGCAAATCATATTCTGAATAAAATACCACCTAAAGGGAAAAATGAGACACCTTACGAAATGTGGAAAAATCGTAAGTCGTCTTATAAGTACCTGAAAGTGTGGGGGTGTTTGGCTAAGGTTTCAGTTCCTGAACCAAAACAAATGAGAATCGGACCTAAGACGGTCGATTGTATTTTTATTGGATATGCATACAATAGTACTGCATATAGATTTCTGGTTCATAAATCAGAAAATCCGGAGGTATCAGTTGGTACAACTATTGAGTCAAGGAATGCTATATTCTTCGAGAATATTTTTCCTTTGAAGGAAAGTGCAGAATCTAGTTCTAACAAAAGGACGTATGAAAATGCTAGTGGTTCTGTACCAGATGGTACTAAAGATAAAGAAGAAGAACCGAGACGTGGTAAAAGGGTAAAAACGGGAAAAACGTTTGGACCTGATTTTATTACGTATATGTTGGACGATGAACCGAGTTCCATTAAGGAAGCTCTGTCTAGCCCAGATGGACCACTCTGGGAAGAAGCTATAAATAGCGAAATCGAGTCCATTATGCAAAATCATACTTGAGAGTTGGTTGATCTCCCTGCGGGTTGTAAATCTTTAGGATGCAAGTGGATCCTAAAAAGAAAATACAAAGCTGATGGAACGATTGATAAGTTTAAAGCAGGATTAGTGGTCAAAGGCTTTAAACAAAAAGAAGGGTATGACTTCTTTGATACTTATTCACATGTGACACGTATAGCGTCAATTAGAGTGCTTCTCTCGATTGCTGCTTTGCACAATCTTGAGATTCATCAAATGGATGTCAAAACGGCATTTTTGAATGGTGAATTAGAAGAAGAAATTTACATGGAACAACTCGAAGGTTTTGTAGCACCTGGACAAAAGAAAAAGGTGCGCAAATTGATCAAAT